CATTTAAAACCTTTGAGATTGACATCACCTGGTCTTCCCAGACGATGATTGAGAACAATCCATGACACTGGCAGGTCTCAGCTTGGCAAAGGGGGCAGTGCATGCTATAAATTCTGCAGGGTGCCCAAACTTTTGCAGACGCCATTTTTTTGTTTTCTGTTATTTTGAAAGTGTAAATGATGGAAATAAAATCTAACTTTTGTTGACATATTATAAGAATATCTAATCTGTAATTTGATGCCTTTTGGAGATTTTTCCATCTTTCCTTGGCTTCTTTATGCACATTAATACACATTTTTAGCTGGGGTGCCCAAACGTTCGATCCCCACTGTATATATATATTTGTTCTAATATTTCTTATGCAACCGCAATTTCTGTCACAGTGTCTGAAAAATAAAATTTTGTTTTGCTTTGCTTTGTGTCATACAACTGTATGAATTTACAGCAGGTGGAGTGGCCTGTTTAAATCTGACCATTTCATTTATGGACTTATTTTTATGGAATGTGGTTTAGTTCTCATGGATGTGTGAATTTAATATCCTTTTTAATGTTCAAATAAATAGTGATATTTTTACGAGTACATGCATTTGAGTCTATTGTATGATCTACAGGGTTCTCCATAAAGTCCCATAATTTAACCACTTCAGCTTTTACACCTGTACACTTCTATGGGCCAGAGTAATTTATGTACTTCTGCTATGGGCCTGTTTATTCAGCAAGTACCTTTGTCATTACATAATATAACAAAGTAATACATATATCACGTTTCTAAAGAAAGTTTTTTTTGTTCTGCAAAATTTTAAAGACATAAATATAAAACCGACAAAGGGCACTTTTGTTTTACTTTGATCGGTGCTGGTTTAATTAAAAAAAAATCATTATTATAGATAAAAAGCATACAGTGTATTCTATAATTTGTCTAGACTGAAAGTACACTAATACACCATAAATAACAGCGCTATGCATACAAAAATAACAAATATGTAAACCACAATACCAATTAATGTATAAATCTATCAAAGTTCTCCACTCACTCTGATGGGAATACATTAGACCTTGTCTTCTCCCATAATTGCACTCCCTACAACTTTACAAACACCCCCTTTCCTCTCTCTGATCACGATCTCATCACTTTCACAGTGTCCTCGTCTTCAAACACCTATCCCTCCAAGCAGCAAACAATTACCCACAGAAACCTTCACAACTTTAACCCTTCTCTTTTCTACTCTGCAACTGACCAACTCTATAACAGAATCTCTCCCCTGTCCTGCCTTGACCTGGCCAACTGCTGTCTACAACCTTGGCAGACTGACGACACCAGAAATCTTAAGCGACATAATCTTGCACTGGAGTGATTGTGGTGTAAAACCAAATCTCAGAAAGCTTTCACCCTATATAAATCTGCCTTCTTAACATACAATTCCTCCCTCCATGCTGCCAAACAAGCCTACTTTGTCACTCTCATCAATAGCTTGTCATCCATTCCTTGTCGTCTCTTCTCTACTTTTAACTCTCTACTTTCTCCACCTCCACCTGCATCCAGTACCTCACTCACTGCTTACAAGATTTCAAAAAATTTCAAAAACAAGATTGATGCAATTCGTAGGGACATCGCCACTGCACAGACATCCATCCCACTTAGCATACTGTATACTAAACCTCCCTCAACACTTTTCTCTTTTGACCTTGCTACTACCGAAGAGGTCACTAAGGTTTTCTCAGAAGCCCGTCTCACTACCTGCCCCCTGGACCTGTCCCCCTCACACAACTACTACGGTCACCCTATGCTCCCTCACTGACATCTTCAATCTCTCCCTCTAATGGTGCCTTCCCCTCCCCTCTAAAGCATGCGCACATCACTCCCATACTTAAAAAGCCATCCCTGGACCCCACCAACCTGAACAACTTAAGACCCACCTCCTTGCTCCCATTCACCTCTAAACTCTTAGAACGCTTAGTCTACAATTGCCTGAGCTGCTACCTCACTGACAACAACCTTCTTGACCCTTTACAGTCTAGCTTTTGCTCACTACACTCCACTGAAACTGCCCTACTAAAACTCACTAATGATCTACTAACTGCTAAAACCAATTGCCCCCCCTTCTCCGTACTCTTACTACTTGACCTCTCTGTGGCTTTTGATACTGTTGACCATCCCCTCCTCCTCAAAAAACTCCACTCTTGGCCTCTGCTCTCTCCTGGTTCTCCTCCTACCTATTGCAGCGCTCCTTCAGAATTACCTATAACTCTGGCTCCTCCTCTCCACTCCCTCTTTCTGTAGGGGTCCCTCAAGGTTCTGTCCTTGGACCCCTTCTCTTCTCCATCTACACCTCCTCCCTTGGTCACTTGATAAACTCCCATGGCTTTAAGTACCATCTCTATACTGATGACACACAAATCTATCTTTCTACCCCTCACCTCACCCCTTCAGTCTCCTCTCGCATTACTACCTAACCTACTAAGTGGCATTTCGACATGGATGTCACTCCACTTCCTCAAACTCAATCTTTCCAAAACGGAGCTCATACTATTCCCCCCAACCCGTACCCCCTCTCCTGACTTCTCCATCAAGATCAATAACACAACCATCAGTCCCTCCCCTAATGCCAAAGTGCTAGGTGTAATCCTAGACTCCCATCTGTCCTGTCAGCCCCAAATCCAATCGCTGTCCAAATCTTGTAGACTTCACCCCTGCAACATCTTCAAGATATGTCTGTTCCTAACCTTGGAAACCACTAAGCAACTTATTCACTCCCTTGTTATCTCTTGCCTTGACTATTGTAACTCCCTCCTCACTGGCCTACTTCATTGCAGGCTATCCCCTCTTCAGTCTATCATGAATGCTGCTGCCAGACTTATCCACCTTACTAACCATTCCATATCTGCCACCCCTCTCTGCCAATCCCTCCACTGGCTCCCCATTGCCCAATGGATAAAATTCAAAACATTAACAATAACATATAAAGCCATTTATAACTCCGCCCCAAATTACATCACCAATCTTGTCTCCAAATATCACCCAAACCGTACTCTCCACTCATCGCACGACCTCCTGCTCTCTAGCTACCTTGTCTCCTCCTCCCATGCTCGTCTCCAGGACTTCTCCAGAGCTTCCCCACATCCTCTGGAACTCTCTACCCCAATCTATCCGACTATCACCTACTCTGCTCACTTTTTTTAGACGATCTCTGAAAACCTATCTCTTCAGGGAAGCCTATCCTGCCCTCAGCTAATAAGGGAATCTTCTACTCTTCCAACCAGTCCATCCCCCACAGTTATTACCTTTTGTATCACTAGCCCCTCCCTCCTAGATTGTAAGCTGTATTGTCTCCCGTTATATTGTAAAGCGCCGAGCAAACTGTTGGCGCTGTATAAATCCTGTATAATAATATTAATAAATGCATAATCAATATAAAGTGCTTCCATTCAGCAAAGTCCCAAAGTGTCAGGTGCTTAACGTTTCCAAAACTAAGGCTAGGTTCCCACCTATGCAGGTAGCGTTTGAGCCGTTTCTGCACTGCGTTGCGTTTTTGCACTTTTTTTATGTGTTCTGTGTTTTTTTTTTTTCTAGTTGCTAGGCAGATTTAAAATGCAAAAAACACATCAAAAAAGTGGCACAAATGCACAACAAACGCAGCAAAAACGCAATACATGCTTTTCTGCAGTGTTTCCATTGACGTCTATAGAACCAAAAATGCTACTTTTTTCGTTCAAAAAAAAAGTCCCTGACCCTTTCCAAAAAAACGCGCCAGGTGAAAACGCACAGATGTTATATTTAATACACTATCAGCCCCAATTACCACCTTACCCTTTGCTACATAACTTTTCTTTTCCTGATGATTTTTTTAATCTATTATTCTAACCCTGAATATTTAAATGTTTTTAAAAAAAATTTTGTTTATTTAATTATTTTTTTTTAGTGTTGCAATTAAAAAAGTGCTATCTTTACAGGAAATCCTTTATTTCATTTGTAAGTAACTTTGCAATGTACCAGAATCATAATTTTAGTGTACTTTAAAATAAATGAAAAAAAAAATAGTGCCACAATCTCTAGACAAAAATAAAATTTACTAAAACACATCCAGAGATGAGCAGAGCATGAAATACTATATGGAGTAATTAATTGTTTTGCATTTTATTTATTTTTTGTTCAGAGATTGTGGCACTGGTGTTTTTCCTTTATACAAGAAGAACACTAAAATGATGATTACATTACATTGGAAAGTTACTTACAAATGAAATAAAGGCTTTTATTTAAAGCTTGCACTTTTTAAATTGCAACATAAAATAAAATATTTAAATGTTCGTGGTTAGAAAAATAGAAGAAAAAAAAATTAGCAGGAAAATAAAAGTTATGGGGGAAAAGGGGAAGAAGGAGTTATTTAGGGCTCATTCAGGTAAACTAGGGGTTAATACATTGGAATACGTTTTATGAAATAAAATAAAAATGTTGTTAGTTTTTAGGTTGTTTTAACAAACATCATATGCAGATCAAAGCTCATCCTGTTAATGAATATAATAAATGGAGCATATGAATGAAACAGAACAGATTTAAAACTGTGTTACTTTGTATCACTCTACCCCTTGCCTGAACACAGTTTATTAAAGTGTTACTAAACCCACAACAGTACAATCAGTCTGTAGATGCAGTAAAGCATGCTTGTTATACTCACTGTGGAACCTAAGGGGTTAATCCTCTGCATTGTGTAAAGAGACAGTTGATCCTGTTTTATCTGCCCCTCCTCTTGTTCAAATGTCCACCTGATCAGACAGACTGAACCCGTTGTCACATGCACATGCTCAGTTTAGTGTGTATTGCTAGAGAGGTTTTTTTTTCTTGGGAGAGTGCATGTGATCAGCACAGGGACAATTAGCACTGTCAGACAGAGGGTCAGGGGTTCTGCATCCTCCTAGAGCAGAAAGTAAACTCCTACAAGCTTTTTTACTAGTGCTCTGCTGAAGCAAAGACTGCCCTAACTGCTGCTGATGAGAAAAGGTATTTAGCAGTTTATATTTACTAAAATAATTGTAATTGCATTTCCATGTTCTGTGTACTGTGGGAGACCAGATATATTGAATTCAGGGTCCTGGGAGACCAGATATAGTGAATGCGGGGTCCTGGAAGACCAGATATAGTGAATGCAGGGTCTGGGGAGACCAGATATAGTGAATGCAGGGTCTGGGGAGACCAGATATAGAGAATGCAGGGTCCTAGGAGACCACATATAGTGAATGCAGGGTCCTGGGAGATCAGATATAGTGAATGCAGGGTCCAGGGAGAGACCAGATATATTGAATGCAGGTTCCGGGGAGACCAGATATAGTGAATGCAGGGTCCTGAGAGATCAGATATAGTGAATGCGGGGTCCTGGGAGAACAGATATAGTGAATGCGGGGTCCTGGGAGACCAGATATAGTGAATGCAGGGTCCGGGGAGATCAGATATAGTGAATGTGGGGTCCTGGGAGACCAGATATAGTGAATGCAGGGTCTGGGGAGACCAGATATAGTGAATGTGGGGTCCGGGGAGACCAGATATAGTGAATGCAGGGTCCGGGGAGATCAGATATAGTGAATGCAGGGTCCTGGGAGACCAGATATAGTGAATGCGGGGTCTGGGAGACCAGATATAGTGAATGCGGGTCCTGGGAGACCAGATATAGTGAATGTGGGGTCCTGGGAGACCAGATATAGTGAATGCGGGGTCCTGGGAGACCAGATATAGTGAATGCGGGGTCCTGGGAGATCAGATATAGTGAATGTGGGGTCCTGGGAGACCAGATATAGTGAATGCGGGGTCCTGGGAAACCAGATATAGTGAATGCGGGGTCCTGGGAGACCTGATATAGTGAATGCAGGGTCCTGAGAGATCAGATATAGTGAATGCAGGGTCCTGGGAGACCAAATATAGAGAATGCAGGGTCTTGGGAGACCAGATATAGTGAATGCGGGTCTTGGGAGACCAGATATAGTGAATGCGGGGTCCTGGGAGACCAGATATAGTGAATGCAGGATCTGGGGAGACCAGATATAGTGAATGCGGGGTCCTGGGAGACCAGATATAGTGAATGCGGGGGTCCTGGGAAACCAGCTATAGTGAATGCGGGGTCCTGGGAGACCAGATATAGTAAATGCGGGGTTCTGGGGAGACCAGATATAGTGAATGCGGGGTCATGGGAGACCAGATATAGTGAATTCAGGATCTGGGGAGACCAGATATAGTGAATGCAGGGTCCTGGGAGACCAGATATAGTGAATGCGGGGTCTGGGGGAGACCATATATAGTGAATGCGGGTCCTGGGAGACCAGATATAGTGAATGTGGGGTCCTGGGAGACCAGATATAGTGAATGCGGGGTCCTGGGAGACCAGATATAGTGAATGCGGGGTCCTGGGAGATCAGATATAGTGAATGTGGGGTCCTGGGAGACCAGATATAGTGAATGCGGGGTCCTGGAGACCAGATATAGTGAATGCGGGGTCCTGGGAGACCTGATATAGTGAATGCAGGGTCCCAGAGGATCAGATATAGTGAATGCAGGGTCCTGGGAGACCAGATATAGTGAATGCAGGGTCCTGGGAGACCAGATATAGTGAATGCAGGGTCCTGAGAGATCAGATATAGTGAATGCAGGGTCCTGGGAGACCAGATATAGAGAATGCAGGGTTTTGGGAGACCAGATATAGTGAATGCGGGGTCTTGGGAGACCAGATATAGTGAATGCGGGGTCCTGGAGACCAGATATAGTGAATGCAGGATCTGGGGAGACCAGATATAGTGAATGCGGGGTCCTGGGAGACCAGATATAGTGAATGCGGGGTCCTGGGGAACCAGCTATAGTGAATGCGGGGTCCTGGGAGACCAGATATAGTAAATGCGGGGTTCTGGGGGGAGACCAGATATAGTGAATGCGGGGTCCTGGGAGACCAGATATAGTGAATTCAGGATCTGGGGAGACCAGATATAGTGAATGCAGGGTCCTGGGAGACCAGATATAGTGAATGCGGGGTCCTGGGAGACCAGATATAGTGAATGCGGGGTCCTGGGAGACCAGATATAGTAAATGTGGGGTTCGGGGAGAGACCAGATATAGTGAATGCAGGGTCCTGGGAGATCATATATAGTGAATGCAGGGTCCTGGGAGATCAGATATAGTGAATGCAGGGTCCTGGGTTTAGTAACACTTTAAACCCAAAATCAAAAATGTAAATTTATTACAGCATACAAATCATTAGATGTTGCGGCTGCATTCGTTTTCTTTTTTAGGCTCTTTTCCCTTCATTTTCAACCTGGTGATCTGGCCAGTAAACACCTCCTGAATTAGAATGCCTCCACTCTGGATGAAGGAGCACAGGGGGCACATTTGGAAAACAGTTTTGTCAGTCAGTCAGGGGACTGTTTAGATGTGCTAGCAGATCTAAATACACTAACAAATTGAAGGCAAACTTCAGCTAAGACTTTATAAACAGTTGCAGCAGTCTTTTTTTTTCTATATGGTATAAAGGGTTTCCCATAAATAAATAAATAAATAAAACCTGATCACTGGCAGCACCTCTGTCAGTGGTAATGGGTTTGTCTTATCCCTGTAACTGCAAGAGAGCTTGTTCTCTTGAAAAACTACAAACTTACTGGCTGGATTACCAGATAAAAATGGAAGGGAAGCCTAAAAAGAAAACTAATGCAGCCACCAAGAATTGGTAAGCTGCAATATAATAAATGTTTTGGTTTTGGATTTAATATTGCTTTAACACTGTGTCTGATAGTCCCTTATTAGACAGCAACAGTTGTAATAACTGCTGTATTTATACAGCAACCCTCAGAGTGGTGGGGAGGGGAGGGGAATCAATGGGGCAGCACGGTGGCTAAATGGTTAGCACTTCCACCTGGCAGCACTTGGGTCACTGGTTCAAATCCCAACCATAGCACCACCTGCCTGGAGTTTGCATGTTCTCCCTGTGCCTGCATGGGTTTCCTCTGGGTACTCCGGTTTCCTCCCACACTCCAAAGACATGCTGGTAGGTGAATTGGATCCTGTCTAACTTTTCCCTAGTATGTGTATGTATGAATGTGAGTTAGGGACCTTAGACTATACACCCCTTGAGGGTTAGGGACTGATGTGAATGTACAATATATATGTAAAGCGCTGCATAAATTGACAGCACTATATAAGTATCTGAAATAAATAAAAATAAATGGGCAGAAGGACAGAAGTACTATTATGCCCTGCACTATTTGACTTTTTGTAGGCACAATTTCCACAACTGGTTAAAAATGATCGGTTTTGGTTTAAAAAACAAAAAAAAGTTAAGCGATTCCTTGTAAGTATGTTGAACTATACAACTTATTCGCTATATATATTTCTTAACTGTGATCATCTCTTTTTTTAGATTACAGAATAAATATTGTCCCTCTGTGGTTCCAGCTCTGCAGGCTTCCCAAAAATGGCAGTTTTTATATGAAGACAGATGGATGTATTGGCCTTTAGATGGTTTTTATTTTCCCTTTGGCGGATTTGTGATTTGTTACTTGGGGGGGATTTGTGTTTCATCAATTGCTTTATTGCATATATTAAACTTTATTTATCCAGATGGTATAACAAACATGTCAATTATCACCAGTATAGGACGTAACAGTTAAGCATATACCAAGGACTAGAACATGCAGACAATTAGAGAATATTACTTCCAAGAGCCTTGAAAGCCCATCTGATTCATCCATTAAACTTGTAGTATTTAAATGAAACCACAATTAAAAAAAAAAAAATGGAAAGTCATTTATTTATCAGGATTAAAGCTTGAGAGAAAAACAAGTCATAAATGCTTTGGACTTTGTGTGTGTGTTATGCAGGCCATAGACGGGGAGAAAACCGGCTGTTTTTTTAACAAAAATTGAAAAATTGGTCGTTCAATGGGCCGATGTTACCACCAACAGTAAAAAAAATTGGCTGGGTTTTTATTTCTGTCTACGGCCGGCATTTAATTACGTTGTCCCTGCAGAGAGAGCCCCGCTATTATATTTGACATTAAAAGTATGAGGTTGCAACATTGTATCTATTTGTATCCATTTCGGATGGGTTTTTTTTTTTGGATACAAATAGATACATTGTTGCAACCTCAATACTTTTTCATGTCAAATATAATAGCGGACTGGAATTCTTCTTCTTCTTTCTCTTCTTCTTCTTTCTTTCTCTTCTTCCACTTCTTTCTCTTCTTTCTCTTCTTCTTTTACTTCTTCTTCTTTCTCTTCTTCTTCTTTCTCTTTTTCTACTTCTTCTTTCTCTTCTTTCTCTTCTTCTTCTTTCTCTTCTTTCTCTTCTTTTTCTTTCTCTTCTTCTTCTTTCTCTTCTTTTCTCTTCTTCTTCTTTCTCTTCTTCTTTCTCTTCTTCTTCTTTCTCTTCTTCTTTTTTCTCTTTTCCTTCTTTCTCTTCCTCTTCTTTTTCTTCTTCTTCTTTCTCTTTTTTTTCTTCTTTTTTTGTAGGTCACGGCTCATGTGCTTTTTTTTTTATCGGTAAAAAGATCGGCCGATTTGCCCATCATTGCCGCGAAAATCGTCCAATCTTTTTCCAACTTTGCTGATCAAAAAAATCTGACAAAATCCAGAAAAAACTGCTGACCAATTAACACATTACAACAGTGCGAAAATTGGCCGATTTTTTTTCGGCCTGAAAATTTGGCCTATTTTCGACCCATTAGGGTTGCCACCTTTCCTCCTTCTAAAACCGAACATAGATTTACACAGGTTCTGTGGCTGGATTAAGGGATGCAATTAAACTCACCTAGTACTTTATCTGCATTAAATTGGCCTCAGAACCTGTGTAATTAGTTATGTGTTAAGTTTTAAATATGTAAATTTACAAATATTTATTAGAGATGAAGGTACAATGCATTCTGCAGTATAATATTCATGTGTTCGGTGAGGGTGGCAACCCTAGTGTGTGTGTCCATTATACCGTTATGTACTTTCCAGCGCCTCGTAAGGATATGCACAGCCAAAAGGGAAGCCAAGGGTACCAGGACAGCGACAACCAAAGGAAATGTTTCAGGGGTGCAGCCCTCCTCAGACGGGGAAATCAGCCACTGGATAGAGAGAAAACAGGTGGCGCACACACCCTAGTGTACTATCCAAGGTTTATTGTAGGAGTGAAAGAATAGCAAGGCTCCTACTTTCCATTCATCATACATCTGCATCAGAGGTTGGTCATCAGCTCTGAGGAAAGGGATTCGTCCCGAAAACGCATCAGCAAATTTGGACCGCACTGACAGTGAGAACACCTTGCCTGCCGTTTATGGCCATGTCATTTTTCTATGCTTTTTTAGATACATGTTTCGTCTGTGAGTATGTTTTTATTATCTTTCACTCCTACAATAAACCTTGGATAATACACTAGGTGTGTGCGCACCTGTTTTCTCTCTATCTGTGTGTCCATTACAGTATATATAGTATATATATTATATATATATATACATACAGTGAAGGGAAATAAGTATTTGATCCCTGCTGGTTTTGAATGTTTGCCCACTCACAAAGAAATGATCAGTCTAAAAAATCGAATGGTAGGTGTATTGTAACACTGAGAGACAGAGAGCAA